TCATGAAGTGTACTATTTGATAAAATATGAAACCTACTGTTTGAGATATTTTTCTGGGAGAATTAAATTGAGCTAAATAAGTGCTTTTAAATTTGTTTCTATCTTGTAAAATACATAAGTTGAGCTAGAGAAGTACAAAAATTGTGATTCCAATTTTGCTAGTATTGTGTTAACATTCTCTAGCTATGAAAAATACTAAATCTATAGTAGGAATACTTGGAATATGGTCTTCCTATTTAATCTTAAATAATTGCTAGTTTCTAGTGAAAATAATTGGGGTAAAAATATATAACATATGATCATGCAAAATTTTACATAGTGTTCTTATGCTAGAATTAAAGTAAGAAAAATATGAAATATGTTGTTTGACACTTTTCACTAGGCTAAACTATTTTTGCTAAAATAAGCCTATGTAACTTGTCATTTTTGTAGAGGTTGCTATACTTATCCAAATATCATGAAATTTGTACATTAGACTATTGGCATCATATGTAAGCTACTGTAATTTCCTCAGAATTTATTGAGCATTAGAAATATTTATCCTTTAAATCACCTTATAATATAAGGATATTAATAAATGCACATAAGTAAATTAGTTGGGCTTAACCATGATGTTTTTTGTGGTCCTTGTGATGCATATGATTTGTTGATATGAATAGTTGTGCTTGGAAGTAATTGGTGATAGGCAGCTAGATAATTATTCCTTATAATTCAACTAAATAGTTGCATGAGTAGTTTCTGTTGTGTTGACAAATTCATGATGATAATGATCTTTTCTGTGAAACTTGTCAATAACAAAGTTGTAGATAACTTACTCATCTTGAATGTCCTAAAATTTCATAGTCATATGCCTAATGGTTTAAGAGTTATAGCTGTTAGAAGTCTGCTATCAGATTTGTTTGTCCTCTGGATAGATCTAAAAGACTGAATTGTTTGATCTAGATAGCTACTGAATCACCTTAAGATGGTTAAAGGAAAGTTATAGGTAATTTTATAAGCTTTCTATAAAGCCCAAGATCATGTTATTTGGGTGTATAAAACTCTAGTTATGGTGAAAACAAGTAGCTGCTGTCTTGCAGCGCAGAAAATGCTAAATAGGTGTTTGTTTAATTACTAGAGATGAGATATGCACCTACTCAGTAAAAGAAAGTTAATCTTATTATCACCCTAATACCTTGTTGTTAAGGACATTTATGTTTATGCATCATATCATATCATCCATATCATTACATGTGCATTCTTATATCTTATTTTGCGCTCATTCATATAGGATCGCCAGAAGGAATCACACTCTTAGAGTCTGAGGTAGAGGAGGAGGAGAATCAAGAGGCATCACAGTAGGTAGCTCCTGAAAGTGAGGAGCAGGATCTTGAGGAATTACCGAAGTGCCCCGATCACAGGCCTACCTCCTTTCTGAAATGCAAGCCCCGGAGCATTCTAAGCCTCCTATGTTTTATAAAATATCACTCGAGTCAGTTATGTTTGATGCATTAGGTTATAAGAGTTGATTTGGAAACACTTGATGCATAGAACTACCTTATCCAGATATATACTTTAAACCCTGTGTAGGTCCAGGATCAAATATATGCTTAGCCATGCTTAGACCGGTAGAAGTCGGGTGATTTCTTGTCACCTACGAGATATAATGGATATCGAAGCACGGTTGGCTATATTTACTATCGTGGAAAAGAACCATAGGATAATGTAACTGGAGGCCGGGTGGAATCTATGTGTAGGTTGACTCATGTGATTCCGTCTGTGCCGATTAAGGACAGCATCGTTGCAGGCCCTCTTGTCATTTTGAACGCATGACTCTCACTTAGCTAGCCGGATAACTCGTTCCGATCGTGAAGCTGAGTAGCTCAACTCAGGCCGGGACTCGTTCTATCAAAGTGCGCACTCTGGATGGTAGAAAGGATGTGCGAGGAGCCAGACGTGAGCCCAAGGGTAGGGTAGTCCTGATAGTCATGGCAGTTGGTTGTCCCTGGTTGTGCGGCGCTGATCGAACCAGCGAAATGTGGACCTGAGTTGTACCAAACGTGACCTAAGGCTACCGTGGCTGGTAGACCTGGGTTTGTGTTAGGAATACTGCCTAGCTGGTTACAATCGATTCGAATCGCCGTCTCTCCCGGATAGTGAGAAACTTCATGGAGCCCCTTCATCGTAGTAATTGGACTATGGAATGTGGTGGTTATGATGAACATGAAAAATATTACACCGGCTATGGTTACTATTGTATGTTACTAATGATATTCCACACGTTTGGCATATGTTAGTTGCTAATCTAGAGACGAATAGCTATAATCAACTTGGTTACCGAATTACAAAATGTATAGCTCAACTAGTGGCTTTTATGCAAAATGGTGTCAAACTAGCTCCACTTATAAAGCCTTGCATGATCTTTGGAGTCACTTCATTTTTGGTTTATGACGGGTAAGTCTAACTAAGTATCTTCTCGTACTAAGGGTTTATTTTCCACTTATTGCAGATAACACAGTATATCATGGATATTGTAAGAATTGTTTCTTTCCCGCCGTAGACGAGGAGTAGGCCCTAGGCAAGGTGCTTCTATTTATATATCTAATCTATGGTGCTTTCGTGGGTTGTGATCACAAACCGGTAAGTATTTGAACAATGTGTGAGATGTTGGTTTAAAAACTACTTTGCTTCCGCTACAACTTTATTTGAACTTGGTTTGTAATAACTTTAATCGCACTCTGATGTATGGCAATGTATTTGTGAACTCTATGTAACATGTGGCATGTATGTTGAATCATGTACGATCTTGGTTGTATGTTGGCGATGAATCGAGACCCTTCGTGGTACTCGACGGACTACCGGATTTATATGGGCTCAAGTATGATAAGGCGACCGCTTGCGGGCTGCCATTGTACTTGTGCTCTTATAAATTGGACGGTTCTGTCACAGACTGGACGGAGTCCGAACTTCGGTAAAATAAATACCGTGTCTCGATCTTCCTTTACTTTTGGTATTTGTGATCTTTATGTGTTGCTTGAGCTTGTGAACAGGTTACCAGTAGGTGCATAGAACTTGGTGTGAAGGGAGAAATCAAAAGGAGCAAGTTTTGTCATCGTGGGCAAAACCCGTGTATACCGGACATGTCCAGTATTGATACTGGACACGTCCGGTATTAGCACCCTGTGTTGATCTTATTTGATCTTTGTTCTAATCTCTGTGTTGCATGGTTTAAGTTCTTATTCTATACACCTTGTTTACTCTGTGGTTGACTCGTGAGGAGTCTATTTCTCTGATTTGGAATTCCTATTTTAATCGTTTCCGTATTTTGAAGGGTTGAATTTTTAGAAACGCCTATTCACCCTCTCTAGGTGGCATCCTTGGTCCTTTCAATTATATAAGCATTCATTAGCCGGAATGATTCCTGTCGTCATTTTGCCCTAACCAAACGAGCCCTTATTAGGTGGTCGGGCCCCATCTCACAAACGCCATGCTGCAAAGCCGTGGCCCCATGCTCCACACACCGTTGCCCACACCACTGAGCCATGCTCCTACACTCTGCGTATTGAGCCGCACTGCATTGTGCCACTGTATGCTCGGTCGCCGAGAGGAGAGGAAATGGGGAGAAAGAGAGAAAAGAGATTTCTTAACCACTGACATGTGGGGCCTCGCCACCTAGGGATGATTTTTTTCTCAATCTACTAGAACACATGTCCTTTATAATCTACAACTTAGTTTTTTTTCAATCTCCTATACAAGATTTTAAGAGAAAAGGGAAAAGGGATGGGGTGTTGATCCTAACTACTATATTGACATGGGTATTTTATTTGATAATCTTTGTTGACATTAACCTTTGTCGCCACAAAAAAAAAGGGTAGGCTTACTTACCGCTGAGGTACGTACCTGAACAATTTATTCCTTACGACACAAATTGAGGAATCGGCTCTTCGAAGACCTTACGAATGAATTTGGTCCCTTCTTATTTGTAGTATTTTCACTTTGTTTCATCCAATTAATAATCACTTTCACAGTTGAAGTAAATAAAGTTTGTTTAGATTAGCTAGGACTAGTTACTAGTTGGAATAAATAATATTCTAAAATAACTAAGGTTGGTTGAGTAGTTGTCTAACAACTAGTTGAACACTTAAGAAGAAAATTAATTCATTTATTAGCCTCTTGTTTGATAGGCTAAGGCTAATTTTTGCTAATTTTAGCTAGCTAGTTGAACACTAAACAAGAAAATTAATCCGTTTATTAGCCTCTTATTTGGATAGGCTAAGGTTAATTTTGGCTAATTTTATCTAGCTAACAATTAACCTTTGGTATACGAAACACACCTATAAACTAGGTAAAAACTAACAAATAAACATTATTTGAAAGAAAAGTTGATAAACTTAAAAAAATACCTTTTCTTGGTTATTTTCGTCATCGAAGAACTAGTACTAGTTTTGATCTTTCTCATTTTCATGGATAAAATGATTTTTAATGAAACATACGAGTAAGGAGCTTTTCAATCAACTTGACAAGTTGACATTACTCGATCACTAGCAAAAAAAAAAATATATATATATATATATATATGCTGAGATGGGTGTCAAGCATATAATCGCAACTATAAAATTTATACAAGTCAAATTAGTTTAACTTTCATTAATGTAGTGAACTATTAATATTTATGTCACTAACTAAATTTGCTGTAAAAATATATTTTGTAAATAATTTAATGATACTTATTTTATATCATAAATATTTTTTATAAAATTTTAATTAAATTTGAAATTGTTTGGCTCCACGGAAAACGATAATTGTATCACGGTGTTTTACATTTATTGGTACAACATTTACGTAAAATGGTGATACCGAAACATCTTAACTTTTCGTTTACGTAGAACCCTTTTTCCGCCTTCGTAGTTCACGTCACAGGGCTCCTGAGTCTGACCATCCCGTCCCGTCCACCCGCCGCGCCGCAAGCCCGCACGGCCGCACCTCCTGGCTCCACACCTCCCCTTCCCGCCGCACCGCCAATGGCTTCGCGCCTCCGCCTCGTCGGCCCGACCCCAAGCACAGACGCGGACTCCGCCCAGAACCCAGGCATCTCCGGCAAGGCAGCGGGGGAGGGGGAGCGAGTGGGAGAGGCGAAGACGCCGGAGCCGCCGCGGCGGGAGGTGACGGACCTTGGCGGCGGCAGCGAGGTGGTCTATATCCCCCGGTTCGTGGCCCGGGAGAAGGCGTGGGAGTGGTTCGACTACCTCGACAAGTCCATCCCTTGGACGCGACCCGAAATCCGCGTCTTCGGCCGCTCTGCCAACCAGGTTCGTGACGCCTCCATTAGCCATTTCTTGCACCGCGTTCGGTCAGGTACTCAGCCACTCGGCTTGTTTAAGCGAGGTGGGCCATCAGAAGGGGATACTCCGATACATGTTGCGACGGTGAGCTTGATCCCTGACCAGATCTTTGCCTTTGGGCGCTATTGCCTTATTGGTTCTGGCTCTGGGTAGCCAATGTATTTTGGTGAAACATCAAGCTCCAGTGGGTTTAGAAATTTAGCTATAAGCCTATAACAATCTGATCACACCAGGGGCTCCAGGCTGTACCATTTGGTTTTATGTCAGTACATGGGCCTTGCTGGGTTAGGGTTTTTGGAACTTGCTCCAAATGAAACTCAAGTTATATGAACCAGTTGCAATTCATGTAAATTGATTGAAACCAAGCATTGTCATATCATAGTCCATCAAACTGAAGTTTACGTCAGTCACGTGCAGGGGCTCACAACTCATAAACGCTAGTGCCAAGTAGTAGTAGAACACAGTGAGCTGTGGGGTTTTTTTTTAAAAAAAAAAAAGATGGCAAGAGCTCTGCCTTTCAATTAAGAGGGGAAATGAGTTTTAAACACAATAAAGACCGGGGCTAACTAAAGAGGCCCCCGCACACATGCCCCAAACAGCCACAGGGGTGACCCACTCAAAAGGCACCAAACAGAAAAGATAGATTACACCGAAGCAAACAGCCACAGGGGGTGACCCACTCAAAAGGCACCAAACAGAAAAGATAGATTACACCGAAGCAAGTGTCCTTTTCCTTAGCTTGAATTCTTCTTTTACTTGCATAGCCACTTGTTGTGCTGTCAGGAAGCGGTTCTCAAAAATTCTCCAATTCCGCTCTTTCTATGGGTTCCACATGATGTAAATGGCCAAGCCATTGAAACGCCGCCGTTGCTCTTTTTCAACCTTTTGTGTCATTGCTTCATGCTTCCCACCAAGAGCTGTTGGACGATGAATCGTCCACATGTTGGATCACAACAGTGTCAAATTGTTCCTACGCCAACGCTTGACGCCAAACAAGTTTGCCAAAAGGGCTATGGATGTTTCAAGTGGCCCATTGCACAAAACGCAACAGTCCTGGTGAGGCCATCCCCTTGAAGCCAGTTATCTGCCATAAGAATTTTGCTCTGTATGAGCGTCCAAGCAAACAACTTACACTTGTTTTCTGTGTGAGCTTTCCAAATTACGTTTGGCTTGTATCTATATGAGAGAGGCTAAAGTGTGCAACTCATATGTAGGGTCACTGTGACAAAAGTCTCTATCAATGCAGCTTACTGGTAGGACCCCTTGCCAACCGTACTAAGGGCATTTTGGTATTTGTTACAGAAACTAATAGACAAATGGTGGGTCTTCAGCTGAACTTCATTGGCAGAAGAGATGGCAAAAAAGAGATGTGTGATTTTCGATTGCTGAAGAGAGAATGTATTTCCCATTAGTTGGGGAAGCAAACTTTTATCTAATGTTAATTGTAATTTTGGTAGGAAGCCACTAATCCAGGTCTCTCTTTCTCTTGCTTTTTCTGCAGCCTATAGATGTGTGCTATGTTGCAGATGAAGGGTTAACAGTTTTGAAATATAGTGGTCATCAGCCTCATGCACATTCTTGGGATGAATTCCCCGTGCTCAAGGACTTATAATTTGGAGGGGTTGTGACACCCTAGTGTTAAGCATGCATCATCTAGAACAAAAAAAAATCAAAGTGACTTATAATTTGGAACAGAGGCAGTATCATCTAGTTTGTGTTTGACAACTACTTTACTACAGTAGGAATGCCATTGCAAGATATCAGAATTCATCATTTCTTGTGATTTGCTGATTCATTAATGTTCATTTAGGTTCATGAAGCCCTTCCCGGGAGCTATTTTAACAGCTTGCTCCTGAACAGATACAAGACAGGTTCAGACTACGTTTCATGGCATGCTGATGATGAGCCCCTCTACGGACCGACTCCAGAGATAGCATCCGTTACCTTTGGGTGTGAACGCGACTTCTTACTTAGGAAGAAGCCTACCAAATCGAAAGGTACGGTCCTTTTGTTTTCATAGCACATCGTTTTAGCCGGTATTGATTCGCCATAAAAATCTACCAGCCACTTCAGGATCTGGAGAAGCTGGTCGAAAGCAGCTCAAGGTCACTGCATCTCAAAAGCAGCATTCTTTTCTTCTGAAGCATGGCTCGCTGCTTGTGATGAGAGGCTACACCCAGCGGGACTGGCAGCACTCAGTTCCGAAGCGAGCCAAAGTGAGCTCACCAAGGATCAATCTGACTTTCAGGCATGTACTGTCCTAAACAGTCTTAGCTTGGAAGTTTTGTGTTTCTTGCTCACTTGAATGTTTTGCGGCAATGTATGATATGATGAACATCACACATCAACCCAGTTCACACGTGGGCTCGTGTTTGGCACCACTCACTGGACAGTTGTGCCCAACATGTTGCGCAAGTTTTCTTGTTGCTGCACAGCTATGACCGCAGACCGGAAACACCGCAGACCTCGGTTTGGGACCAAAAGGAAGTTGCGTCTATACGGACATACGGTCCATCACGTGCACATCAGATCTAAAAATGAAATGTGATGTATATCTTCTTGAATTCAGAATAGCACTGCCTCAACAAAAGCTCAAGCATACATTATTATTATCATTACTAAAACGATTTTCGGACCAAACAATGCTAGTCTCCGGAACATTCTTTTTAGCGTGCGGATTTTATGCTCTAAAGCCAAGCGACACATTACTTGCATTGCCGGCAAGCTGCAACTCCTGCAACACACCGTTACCATCATGTCTCGTGTATTGTTCTGTTAAACTTCAAAACACAGTACAAAACTAATTCATTAATTATAGCCAAACTACAAACAGACACCATATTGAGTCCAAATACTAAATCTCCGGCGTCAGATCTAGATTCAAAGTATTAGGGCAATCAAACGGGGGCCAAAAATTGGATGCCCACAGCTAGTTTTACGAGTGTCACTGGTTTATTGCCTACAACATTTCTACAAGAGTTTAACGACAAAGCACTATGTCCTGCAAAAGAGCTAATAGATATGTTACATAACCTCTGACCCTCTCTAAGATATACAAGACAACCCGGGGATGCCATGCCATAGCTTAATGGGCAACAGGTGGCCGCTTCTAATAACATTAAAACAAATCCTATTCCACTGTTCTATACTAACGTGTTGCTATCGAAACAAACATTTCCTACATTACAACTGTCAATTGCAAGGGTTCAATCAATGAGATATCCACATTCCCGGACGACTGCCTGCCTGTGAAATCTGCATCCTACTATGAATGGTCAGCTGAGAAAGCAAGACTATGTTGCTTTTGCTGTACGTTTTTTCCACACGCTCTGCACATTCAACACGAAACAAATTGGTGAGAATATTAAATCAAAAGATGAAAAGATTCGGTTCAATATCGAAGCATAGGTTAGGTTCAGAACACAGAATGCACTCACAAGAGTTTCGTTGTCTGATTCCGCCTTGTTGCTCAAAGTATGGTCATCCAGCTTTTCCACATCTTTCATTTCCACATCTTTGGATTCCTTTCCCGCCTTCCCTTTCGTTTCAACATCTTTCGAGTCCTTCCCTGCCTTCTCTTTCACTTCCACGTATTTGGACTCTTTCCCTGCCTTATCTCTCATTTTTACATCTTTTGAGTCCTTCCCTGGCTTCTCTTTCACTTCCGTATCTTTGGATTCTTTCCCTGCCTTCTCTTTCATTTTTACATCTTTGGACTCCTTCCCTACCTCCTCTTTCATTTCCACGTCTTTGGAATCCTTCCCTGCCTTCTCTTTCGTTCCTGCGTCTTTGGAGTCCTTCCCTGCCTTCTCTTTCGTTTCCACATCTTTGGAGTCCTTCCTTGCCTTCTCTTTCATTTCCATCTTTGGAGTCCTTCCCTGACTTCTCTTTTATTTTCACATCTTTAGAATCTTTCTTGGCCTTCTCTTTCTCAGCTGAGCTAACTACTACTTCCTCCATGTGGCTATCTGTGGTATAAAAGAACAAATTAGGCTCAGCTAAGACGAAGGCATGCATATCATGAAAACAATAGGCTCATACAATCAATGATAACTCATTAAGCAATCGTACCAGAATTTACATCTTTGTCAACATCTGAGTGAGCAAGAGAACTGGATGAATCTGAATCATTACCGCCAGCTCCACTACCCTCTTCGACAGAATTGTTTCTTCCTGCAGTCTTTCTTCGTTTGTTCTTTGGTTGCCCTTTCTTCTTTGGAGGTAAGGACCTATAAAGATGGAATAAACAGATGAATTGCACCATGGTTACGAAACTGAATCATCAGTTCATTACCACATTTCAAATCCATACTGGCTCACCTCTTTTTTGACTTCGGTTGGCTAGGCGGAGACTTGCTGCTGCTAGTTCTCTCCAGTGCTCTGCAAGGTGACTAGGTGTCAATAGTTTATAAATGACACCACATGTTACTATACATATACAGAGGACTTCAATACTAAATCTATGTTTAGTTATTTATGTTAATCCAATGCTGTGCATGGGCTTGTTTCTTAGCTTCCAACAGTGGCACAGCTTACCTTCCTTGGTTTGTCCCAAGATGATCCTTCTTTTGCTTCTGCAATATTGAGTAAACAAAAATGAGTCAACAGTATCTTCTACATTGAAAAAAGACAAGGAAAGCATTAAAAATACTCCACCTTCACTGATGAGTCATTACTTTCAATCAGTATCCACTTCTCTTTAGCCAAGCTAAGCACTTCAACATCTCCGTCATCGTATAGCACCTATGAAGGGAAGTAAAATCGTATAAGTACATCCACTGTGTCTACAAATTTCTAACAGTTTGGACTGAAATTATCATCTCTACAACTTCCACATGTTGAAATGGCATTGAGTTGATACTATGTGTAACTGAAAGTTGCTACCGTGAGCACCAAGCACTCACAATCCAGTGGTATAAACAGACAATACTAAACTTATACCAGTGGTTCAGTATTTTTCACCTTTTGGAAAGGTAACCTACAGCATAAATACACACTGCTAAAGCACAGCTGCTATAGTGGTATTGGCGATTTGCAAGTGGCTTAAATAGCAGCAGCTAATTGTCATTTTGTACTTGCAAAATCCTGTGTAATGGTACCTGAGTAAACACTTCTTTACACAAAGAAATGACATATATAGTGTTTTTTTTCTCAAACAACACAGGAGACCTATGCGTGTCATTTCATTAAGCAAAGAGAAGTACAAGAGGCACAGATACGGTGTTTTGTATACCATTTTCAGATTTAAAATTTAAAATGATCAAATACACACTGTGCTACTTAATGGAAATATTTTCTTAAACATACTTAATTGAAGTATTTATTTGTAAGCTTCAAAATATCAAATATTTATCTGAAAAGTTCAATTTCAAAATTTCTGTGGAAATAACATTTTGGTACAAGGCAGACCAAAAAAAGTCAAGTTTTTAAGCAACAACAGTAGTAACTACCCTACACATTTAATAACAATCCAAGGCAGACCGGAAAAAGTCATTACATTTACAAATACTCAGTTGCATTCACCAACATAGAAAGTATCCAAACACAAGTAAACTGTTCTTTACAGTCGTACTTACAGCAGTAAAGATGGATGAAACAAATTACAGAGAATAAACTATTAATGTGTCATTTAGGGGAGCTTACCGTATGTTTTTTCTTGGATGAATCGTATGATTGCACGGCACCTTCATAAAATCTAATAACAAAAAAAAACTTAAAATCAACCCCACCTTCAGTAATAAACTAATTGCAATAACATAAGTACAGATAACAATAACATTTACAAGACAACATACCTCTTATCCAAAGGCCACCAAACTTTTATTCGGTGTCCTATCAAGTCTTTACCGCTTGAGTCCTGTGTTGCGCACTGCAGGCATAAACACATTCTTAGCAGCCACAAGACAATAGAATGAAAATTGCTTGCACAAATTTGAATATGGCCAAGAATATATATGCTTCCTTCCAATGATTGGCATGATTTGCACAAAAGCTGTGGCTAACACAATGGGCTTATAGAATAGAATAGAATTATAATCAATTATTAATCATTACCTTTACTAAACCAGAAATTGGTTTTGCCTTTTGCCTTTTAAGTGATCCATTTAAACTTCTCGGTTCAACAGTTCTCTTAGTACTGTCTGCATCAGCAGACTTCTGAAAAGGTTGAATAAGAATTGAAAAAAATCATAAACTAAACCTCAAAACTTTTGTTGATACAAAGATACCATAGAAACGCAAGAAATCACCTTTGGGACACTGTTCAAAGTATCAATATGGGATTTCTTCGCACCCTTATTTCCTTTAGATACAGGGGTTTTAGTGCTAGGTGATACTAACAGTTCCGTATCAGTGGAATCATCTCTGTTTTTCTCCTTCAATTTAGATTCCAAGGAGATAGTGGTCCTCTCTGTGTTAGGAGTATGTAGTAGACGCTCATCACTGCTTTTACTACCTTTTGCTGAATGTGGTCTACTCTTAGAAATTGATCTTTTGCGTTTAGGTGAAGAAAAATTGAGTGGTTTCTTGTTACTATCTTTTGTATCTGTCTGATGCTTCTTAGGCTTGCCCTTTGGCGATTTCTCCAAATCTTCTTGGTTGTTCAAGTTAATTTCTCTTACTAAACCCAGGACATCATCATCGTTCCCTGCATTTAATGTACTAGATGGTGTCTTCTGCTTTTTCCCCGCCTTCTTTTCTCCTCGCGATTTAAGAAGTTTGACAATTTTCCCAAGAGGAACTTCATTTCCAAATTCATCAGTCACATCAATAAGCATCTTATGTTTGGGAGATTCAACCTGGAAATACATTAAAAAGACAAAATAGTGCAGTTGAGACAACAGATAAAGAAAGTTGAGCAACAATATCAACAACCTATCATGCATTAAATACCTTATCCATGTTTGCAGTCATTACAGCCTCAAAATGAGCCAGTACTTTCTCACATCCCAGCCAAATCTGCTCATAATTCTCCTGCACAATATTACATAACTATCAATACCAGAAGCCTTATGAACTAGCAAGCAGTTATTTCATGATTTGTTGGAGCACACACCACAGAATTTTCATTTTGGTTATCCAGAAGCGGCGAGTAAAGTTGAGCAGGCAATGGAACTGTTTGAGCTTCTGATAAACTCGTTTGGTCTTGGCATAACCTCTTTGCAATAAGAGTACCAAGATCACATATAGCACACAGAGTCTGCAAACAGCATATAAGAACATTAAGTCGCACTTAGTAGCAACGATCATGTACAGCAACCCAAATGAAGAGAAAGCACAGTCAAAACACATTTTTACCTTGGTCTTATTTCCATCAACCACATCCTGTGAAGATTTGATACTTTTGAATATAGATATTATTGTAGTGAAGCTGTCCTTTTTCATGCCTGGAACACTATGTTGCAAACCTTCTTCCCCCAGGAGGATTGAAAGAATCAGATATAGTCGCCTGGAAAAAGTTTTTTCATAAATATATGCATGTAGAACCACAGGCTATTTCAGCTAGAAGGGTCAAGGTAAACACATTTTGATTCCTTAGCCCAATGATTCCACACTTTACAAAATAAACTAGAATGGACCTTACATTAACAGCTAATGGTGCATCATGGGAATAACCCACATAAAATGCAACCTTTTAGCAACTATGTGGCCCATGCCAAGCAAATCCTTCACAATATTGAAACCCATTTTAGGGCCAACAATTTACCCTATTGTCAAAATGCAACCCATCAACATTATAAAGGCAAGCAATGTTCAAGCATGATATCAAGTAAAATTGAATAGAATAATATTATGACGATAACAAACTAGAACATAAAGTTATCATCAGATACCAGTAAATTGCACCGAATCCATGATATCCTAACATATTTCAATGCAAGGGTGCAGATTATGAAATATTATTTTTGAACAAGACAAGTAAATTCATGGTAATAAGAGAGCAGCACAGAAAGAGCTATATTAGATACCAGTAAATTGGACCAAATGCTTTGACATTTTCATGTTCTTCGATGTCTGGGGATGAAGGATCATGAGCGAGGGCATGAACCAAAAAGGAAATTATATATTCTGGGTAAGCCATCAGCAAATTCATATCTGCTTGGACTGAAAGTTGGCGCATCTTAACTTGTTGGCATATCTGAACCACTTCAGTCAGATTGTGCTTGAACTGAGAAATGCATGGAAACAAGAGAAAGTAAAAATGAGACTCAATTGATTATCTTTCAAATAGAATCAGTTTGTAGGCCTGTTAACAATACGAACCTCTTCGTACTCCGGGGCATGATAATCATTAACACCAAACATGAAGGCGCAAGCATATTTTGCATCCAAGGCCCTTTCCTTGATATATTGAAGTACTTTACAAAGAAATAATTTTCTCACCTGAGGAAAATCATCCTGGAAAAGAATAGAAATATGAATCTACAAATATGGTGACATAATACAAAAGAGAACAATTGCGTTTAAAAATACAAAAGAGAATAACGAGGAAGCATGCCAAGCAGCATTGTCCCAAGGAAATACCTGTGAAATCCTCAAAGTCAAATAAAATACATCAACAGGCACTTTATGGTCCCATTGTTTTGATAAGCGGAGAACAGCTTTTGCTGCTGAAAGCCTCAAATGGGCCTTATCAACAGCACTGCAGTGATATAAAATATATAATATTATATAGTGCAGAATGTCTACATCACAATTGAAGGGTATGTATCTACTGGTACCTTGAGACCATATTTGGAGATATATCACCATAGGTAAGAATATTCTTCAGAATATCAATTAACTTCTCTATTCCTGGCTGTGCATGAGCATCTTTGCAAGGTAGATAGCTCTTCACCAAAGTTTTGATGCCATAAATCTGCAA